TGACTCTCTGTAAACCGCTTAGAGAGGCCTGAAAGGCCTATGAAGCGGTATATAAGTCTACTGCTATTGCTATGAATGATACAAAATGTTATATTACAGGCATGAACCATTATAACTCCACCAGGAGCTTCCCTGAAGCCTCCAGAGCACAAAAAAACAGCCCTACAGGCAAACCGGAAGTTCAGAAATGGACTTCCGGTTTGCTCGTAGGGCTGGTTTAAGCCTTGCAGAGCCTTCAGGAGCCTTCCGGAAGCTTCCCTGAAGACTCTGGAGGACTGAAAACAACCCTACGAGCAGACCAGAACTTCCAGTTTGTCCATTGGGCCATTTTTAGTGACTTCTGGTTTGCTCGTAGGGTCGTTTTTCATCCTCCGGAGCCCCTGAAGGCTCCGGAGGGCTTAAACTGGCTCTACGAGCAAACCGGAAGTCTGTTCCCAAATTTCTGGTTTGCCCATAGGGGCAGGTTTTTGTGCTCCAGAGGCTTCAGGGAAGCTCCTGAAGCCTCCGGAGGACCTCGGGGCGGGGGAGGCTGTTTTCACCCTCCTCAGGCTCCTAAAAAACCTCTGGAGCCTGGGGAGGGTGAAAAATGGCCTCAAAAAAGGCTAAAGTAGCACATGCTCTCTGGCCAGCTGACAGGGCAATGCCTTGCGTGCCCTGACAAATGGATCTGCGTGCCACCTGTGGCATGTGTGCCATAGGTTCTCCATTCTGGGAACAGAGTATAGAAAGAAGTTACGATGTAATACTGGAAAGACAGCTAATTTATAATTGTACTTATAATATTTTTTGCAACTTGTTTTTTTTGGGGGGAACTTATATAAAGAGAGCCGCCCCCACTCCCTCTCCCTCCCTCTCTTCTTCCCCTCTCCCCCTCTCGCTCTTAGTTTTTACATGTGCACTGTTATATGGCGCTCTGAATGTACTTAGTGAATAATTGTTAAACTTTTCAATTACATATTTGTTATCTTGCTGATTCTACACATTGGGCAAATTTACACAGTTACCTAAACTCCCAGCTAAGTCATTCATTTAAACTATGGGTTTATTGACTATGTCCGAAGAAGACGGTACCAACTAATTACAATGTTTGAATAATTTCATCTCGAATTAGTTCATCCAAAATTTTAATATGGAATTGAATTAGCTTAAAAGGGCAATTGTTCATTTGCAATGTGTAACCCTGTTTGAGGGCAACACACACACACACACACACAAACCAGGGAAGCCCAATGAAGAAAAGAAAAGTCATGTAGCTCCAAGGAAACTCAACATGTGTAAGATAATCCAGTCTTGACTGTCAGGGGAAGGAAATAATTAACAGAAAGGTTATACCCATTCAAATAGAAGAAGGAGAAGAAGGAGAAGAAGAAGAAGAAGAAGAAGAAGAAGAAGAAGAAGAAGAAGAAGAAGAAGAAGAAGAANTAGAATAATCATATCCAAGGACCAGTGGTGGGTTTCAAAAAATTTTGGAACCTCTTCTGTAAGTGTGGCCTGCTTTCCGGGTCCACTGGTGGAACTTCTTCTAACTGGTTCGGTAGATTTGACCAACCGGTTCTACTGAATAGGTGAGAACTGGTAGGAACCCACCTCTGATACAATTCCTATTCAATGGTGATAGACTGAGAGAGATTAAGATTAATATAGAGGTTGGCTTCAAAAATTCTAGCAATAGGTTCTTTTCCCAGTTACTGGGTGTGATGGGCATGACCTAGTCAGCCTCCTCCACCATGGCACCAGGAGCGGGGCCTTTTTGCCCACCATGGAGTCTAGAGATCTCCTTTGAGCCTCCAGGAGGGCGAAAATGGCCTCCCTCAGGTTCCAGAGGCTGGAACCGGGCTCATTTCTGGCCCTCCAGAAAGCCCATTGTTTACCCTCCATGCACACCTTGTATTTACCTGGCATCCCAAACAGGTCGCGTGGGGACTTCTGGGAGGGGTGGGAGGAACGGGGCAGGGTGGGCAGGGCCAGCCAGGGGTGGGATTTGTGGGTTCTCCAAACTGGGCAGATTCTTAGCTAGAGGGTCTCCCGAACCCGTGCGAACCTGTAGCAGTCCACCCCTGGATTAATATAAAAATAGGAATATTTCAAGGAGACCCACTTTCACCACTATTGTTTGCCATTTCACTGATTCCTGTATCAACGGTTTTGAACAGATCATCTTATTAAGCATCAAAAAAATATCTGGCAGGCTGACCATCTTCCTTCATATGGATAATGTGAAGTTATGCGGGGGAAAAAATCTGAAGAAATCAAGATGCCTTATGGAAGTAACATCAAGGGTCTAGATGAAGATGATTACCCCAAATACCTGGGCATCCTTCAGACTGACAACATCAAGTACAATTGGGTCAAGAAAAAAAGGAAATAAAAAGTGAAGAAGATCTTAAAACTTGGTGGAGAAAATATGAAGGCAATTAACATCTGGGCAAGTTTGGTTATTAGATATACAGCTGGAATAATAATTTTAATAATTTTTTTAAATAATTTTATTAGTATTTGTAGGCCGCCCTTTTCCCTGAGGGGACTCAGGGCGGCTCACACAAAACCGGGAAGGGGGAATACANCCGGTAGCAGAACTTTTGAGTAGTTTGGAGAACTGATAAATACCACCTCTGACTGGCCCCGCCCCCATCTATTCTCTGCCTCCCGAGTCCCAGCTAATCGGGAGGGAATGGGTATTTTGCAGTAACCTTCCCCTGCCACGCCCACCAAGCCACACCCACAGAACTGGTAGTAAACAAATTTGAATTTCACCACCAAGCTAAATGCAACCACAGTAATCAAAGTGAAGTCCTCATGCGAGACACAGTATATACCCGTGTTTTCATGAAAATAAGACCGGGTCTTATATTAATTTTTGCCCCAAAAGATGCATTAGGGCTAATTTTCTGGTTAGGCCTTACTTTCTGGGAAATACTGTACTAAATGCGTCCCTCTAACTGACCATCTTAACTGGGGCTTATTTTTGGGGAAATACAGTAGGAAATTTGCTGTATTCCAATGACGATTTGTGGGAAATGAAGTACCGTATGCAGTGAGACAATTATTCAAGATACTGGTGGTCCTCAGCTTACGACCACAATTAAGCTCAAAACTTCCATTGCTAAGTGAGACAGCTGTTAAGTAACTTTTGCCCAATTTTATGACCTTTCTTGCCAAATTTGTTAAGTGAATAACTGCAGTTAAGCTAGTAACATGGTTGTTAAGCAACTCTGGCTCCTCCCCACTGATTTTGCTTGTCAGAAGGTTGCAAAAGGGGATCACATGACCCCAGGAGACTGCAACCGTCATAAATATGACTCGGTTGCCAAGCATCTCAAATTTCGATCACATGACCACAGGGATGCTACAAGGGACACGTGAAAAACGGTCATACGTCTCTTTTTTTCAGGGCCGACCTATCTTTGAACGGTCACTAAATGAATGGCTATAAGTGGAGGACCACCTGTAGGGCCTTAGATGAAATTCTGCAACAGACCCACCTCCTTAGTGGCCCACTGGAAACCAGCCACGACGCTGTCTTTGATTTCATTGAGATACTGGACGCCCTTGGTGATGTCCACCAAAATATTAGGCCCCGTCCCGTCGGGTCCAAAGCACCAGATCTTCCGGGCTTCAGAAACATCCCACTCGTACTTCTCGGCCAGATAGCGAGCTCGCTGCTTCAGCTCTTGGCGGGAACTAACGTCTCCTTTGTCTATGTCTTCTGCCAAACCGTCAGGGAAAGGGCGGGCTTTCATATAAAGCCTGTTGTGCTTGTTAGGCGATTTGGATAAGCACAACTGGTTCGATTCTTCGCAGACTGTCTCCCGATAAGATACTACTGGGTCGGATTTCTGCAAGTAAACAAATCTATCATTTATCTATTGTTAAAATATTCATGACTGGGAAAGAAATGGGAACAAGGTCAGCCAATGAATAGGCATAGCAACTAAGTCAGCCAATAAGAGCTTAAACAGATCTGAATCTGTGCAGAGAATTGAAACAGAAACAAGAAGAAAGCAGTCTGCTGTTCCAAGACGTAAACTAGCTGTCTGCTAAAATGAAACTGACTGCTTGTGTTTGCCTGTAACTTTCCTGCCTTGTGTTTACTTGGAAGAATCACCTGTTGGTATTGTACATTTATTCATC